CAGGCGGCAGACTACTTTGAAGAGGGTTTTCAACACTTAGTTCTGAGGTATGACAAGTGCATTAATAAACTCGGCAACTATGTAGAAAAATAGGCAAAAGTAAGTACAATAATAAAATAAAGGTTTTTTGAAACAAAGTATTGTCATTATTTTTTTAAAAACAAACGGACCTTACTTAAAAAACAGTCCTCGTAATTTAATCAATTTTTTCTTTGGTCTTAATGTGTAATTTTTTCCATTATCCTCATGTTGTGGCCCACGTGAAGTACTTTTCATGTGTATATGGCCCGGGGGGATGGAAGGTTATTTAAGCGCTATTTTTATTGGATTGTCATTTACATATAACTTTAAATTTAAGGCATTGTTTTTCACCAATGTCAAAGCACAAAATTAAGATTTGGAATACATTTTCAAAGAGAATATTTTGCTCTGATATTTATATAACTTCAAAGAGTTTAAACACACACGCCCTGTTATCATACATTGTATACAAAAAACATTCAAAGTACACATGGACTTTTAATTTAACACATGAAATTATGAAATCATTTAGTTTAACTTACGTATTATACTGTCGATCAATTTCGTCAAATCAAAAAATGACGTCAAATTCTGCGGTATGCAGCTAATAATGGAAACCGTTTCAACGCAGTAATAATACTGTCGACTGCCTTTAGAGACATCTTCTGAATGGCGATGTATTTTCTTTTGGCGAACGTAGTCGACAGTATAATACATAAGTATCCATTTTGCATTAGAGTATAACACACTACACATAAAACATAGTTTATATCAGAAAAAAAAAAGGATTGATTCAAAAAGAAAAGATGAGTATGGTAAAGAAATCGGAATATATTAATGTTAGTACTTTTTTTTATTTTAAAAAAATGTACGAGTTATAAATCTGGGTGAAAAATTTTTCTATAAGCACACTCAAGAGAGAGCTAATTAGCATATGCTAACAAACCATGACTACTATATTAGAAAAAAAAACACTTCATACAAAAACTTATGTTAATATAACAGAAAATATTAACAAAACTCCTGTTTTTGTGCAAAACTTAACAGTTAAATAAACAAAAGTCTCTTTTTTTACTTGATATATCTTACCGATCAAATTCTTAACCAAAAATCTTTCTTATAATCTTTTTCTTCAAGCTCTCTCTCTCTAACGTTAGGAAATAAAAGATTATCTATAGCTGTTTTTTGAGCTAAAGCCATCGAAATCTCTAAAAAAATGAACTCATGATAAACTTCCATGTAAGTAATCTAGTGACCGAAATAATGAGATCCATCTACATATAAATAAGTTCATTAAAAAGAGCAAAAAGGATGATTTAGAAGACGTTATCTTTTTTTCTTTACTCTAGGATTTTGTAGGCTTCAAACGATATTTAAGGGTAGATTATTTGCATATAGTTATTATTAGATTTAAGTACTTATTTTAAACCCAAGATGAAATATTATAGAGCTATTATTTCTTACAGGCTAATTTTTTTGAGTGATGAAAAATACGATGCCTCATTTTTTTTTAAGTGGAGTCAAGTACTCATTTTTTAAAGTGACAAATATGATAAAGAGAAGAATGTATAAGGAATAATTGTTCACATTTTTTTAAAGAGAACTTTTATATTCTGCATTTATTTAAGAATATGGTTTTAGAAACCTTTAAATATTGTTAAGAACTTTGTGTAAAATAGTATAAATAATTTGCATTTGGATGTGTAATGCCTTTATTTTACTCTAAATTAGATTTAATTTACATTAAAATTGTAATATTCACAAGCAACGGCGTCCCTTACGTTAAAATGGTGATTCAATGGGAACTTGGCGAAATCTTGGTGATAGAGCCAAGTTAGTGTCATTTTTGGTGACTAATTTGGTGACTGGGTGATCATGTTGGGGACCCTCTGGATTCTTCTAGAAATTAGTAGAGAAATCTACTGATTTCAAATCTATGACGCAAGCGAATCTTTCTCGAATTATCCGTGATGGATATAAACAGAGAAATGCTCGCCAAAAGTCAGTCAGTCTAGTTTTGACTAATGATCAGTTAGTATTGCTCTGATTGTTGAATCTATTAGTGATAACTTCGGCTGTTGAACGAGTGATTGCTTGTGAATAATATTTCATATACGTGTATTTTATACACCGATGATTCTGCCTGAGTGCTGCTGAAGGTGTGAAGACCTTCTGAGATTTATTCTGCGATTATTGATGCTGAATCCTGTATTTAAAGGATTGGATTTTCTACAATAAATTCTTATCGCTCTTAAAGAACTGTTTTGTTCTTTGCGACTGATTTGCATAAAATCCTTGAACCCACTATCTTCGTAAACATAATATAGGTGGGAAGTAATGATTAAGTTTTAAAATTTTCTTACAATTTACCCGTTTTCTCTTTCAATATGTTTCAGTGATATCTATATTATTAAAAATATACTATGCAAAAGTGTGCATCAGCGTATTTGGTTAAATTTTACGACAATCTCTTATTTTTTTTTCATACGATTTTTTCATTGAAGATGTAACGGGTCTATTCTCGTTTTTTCTACTAATAAACCTCTTGGGGAACATAATGGGTCTTTAAATATTATTCTATTGAAAACTTTCCTCCGAAGAAGACGCAATTTATTCAAATCAAGGCTTGTATTTAAAGATTAACTCTCAAGTTTGAAGAGAGGGATGTTAGAAGCTAACAGGATACAAGTAATGATTAAGGTAAAGCAAGGCGAGAGTGCTTCGTAGATTATTTAATTAATATTAAGATTGACGATTTGGTCAATTAGTGGTTAAATGGGATTCGTGTTGATTTTAATTAGATTAACACAGAAATTATCTTCAAATATTAGAAGGTGTATTGCCAGGATGTGCTAAGAGTAAATGATCCGATTTACAATTATCTCGTCTACCTCATTATTGCTCCCAGATTTAATTATTGGTGCATTTCTTAACCTGAGTTGTTGAAATTTGTGACTTTGTTGAGAATTGTTAATAATTTGAGTTTGTATTGACTATGGCTAATCTTCCTTCCGACGCTCATACACCAACCATTCATTACAAAGTATTAGTGGGATTCTTAAATTTCGTATTTCTTGGTATAACGGATTGTCTTGAGTGCTTGATCATAGATTGTTAAAAAATAGTTCCACCTATAAAACTATCATTACTCTACATTTGTTGGTTATCACTAACAGTGGCCTTTAGATAGAAAAGGAATATCAATTTGCACTCGTACGACATCGACAGCAAAATTGATACATTTGATTTCTTGACACCCAATTTTTTATCTATTGTTCTTAAATAAGTGAATTTTTCACAGCCATGGGTACTGACTTCAAAAGGCCGCAGGTTGCGTATCGCTGCCACAAAGCAATCATTCAACTCATTTAGTCGAAATGCGGCCATCAGCCGAGCCGGTTGGCGCCTAGGTTTTTGAGATTGTGAGTCGTGTACATTGATTTGTTTCAAATGACCCTTTGAACGAGTATTTGGCAAGGCATGATATTGACTGTCTACTTTTAAAGATTTCAGGCAGGGCCTACTTTCGCATAAGGGCCTCTTAAGACGTCCCTGTGTCCAGATGATAAATTGATATCACCCAAATATCAAAAAAAGTCCTTAATACACGTCACACTAAGCGTAAGAGAAACCAAGCAGTTAATTTTAATGAACCAGACCCTTCATTAAACATAATTCTTTCCATCCACCCTAATAAAACAGAAAAATATCACTTGGATTAAGGACGTCATGAGCCGTCTTCAAAATGCGAACCGTTTACTTGACTTCTCTGCCATAGAATTAACATTAGTCTGGCGCTCGTAAGTTACGACGTCGTAAACACGCCTTTCTCGACACAATAAACCCTAATTGCACGACAGTCGTGTACTTTGACGACTAAAATATAACCACTCACTGCAGTAATGGGGCAATTTGCATATAAAACAGTAGGTTCTAGTACAAGAAAGGCTGCAGAAATAACTTTCGGGAAGTGAAATGTGGGCAATGTTGTCTCGTCTTAGACTTGTTATAAAGCACAAAGTGGTATTTTTATTTTTATCGCTTTCGAAACACTATGCAGAAGCTATAAATAAAATGAGTTTTGTAAATGATTTATGAAAGAGTATACAAATAATTTAAGTTTTTTTTTTTTAATCAATGAATTATTAGGTTCGTAAAATGTCATTTATTATACATAATGCCATTAAATTAAAGTCGTGGACCTTTTCTTTTATTACTTTCTTTTCCAATTATAAATACAGTTTTCTCTATATAATTACTTGAAAATATAATAGATTATATATATATACTAGCAGTCCCGACAGACGTCCTGTACAAATGTTTTAAATCCGAAAATTACAAACCATTTTGAATAAGTTGTAACAATCTGGACCGTTTTGATGAATTTTTGTATAAAGAAAGTTATTACAATACATGACATCATCACATGTTCCAGTTACCACAATTCGGCCTATCGATTGCGTGTGAGTATTTATTTACTATGAACTAAGTTGAATATAGAAGCTATTCTGAATAGAAACTTGAACTTGTTTTGATTAAAGGGTAAAAAAGGTAAAACTCGAGCCATTTTCATAACAGGTATATTTTTTTAATATATAGATGACAGCGTGGGAAATTTATGAACTAAGCGCGCGTTAAAAAAGTACCGAATCAACCTCTTTAATTATTTATATCATTTAGAAAAATAATTAAACAAGTAATATAAAAAAAAATTAAGTCAATTCCTATACTTACATCAACAAAGAAAAATTCTATTTTAGTTACTTTTTACTAATAGTTACAATTAATATAAATATGTATATACATACGACAGAATCGCAATATTAAGTGACAAATTAGAAAGCGATTTTCCTTGCAATTTTCCATTTTCCTTTCTATACAGGGTGTTGGACTACTTTTTTGTTTATTTATTTTATTAAATTTAATTATTCTAATAAAATAGTACAGTAAAAAATAAATCACATTCTCAAAAATTAGGCCATCCCAGGTGGAATTCTAACCCACGACCTTAGGATGAGAAGTCCAACACGCGCTCTCCATTGTGCTACAGGGACACAACGAACGATTTTCCTTTCTATATATGGAGTTATGGACTATTATTTCTGTTTACTATTTATTCTTTTAATTTAATTAATGAATTAATATTTGAAAAAACTATTTTCATCAAGTGTCATCCACTACAAGTTTTAAAAAAAATGTATTTGAACCTGAATGGAAGAATAGATTTTATTAACGACTAAAAATTTGATTAAGATATATATATATATAGGGAGAGATTGCACACTAATAGTAGGAATTGAAAATTTGTTCTTCAAATGAGAATGAATATTAAATTAAAAGTAATTTTTATTTAATTACACATAAAAATAACCATACTTTTTTATTTATAAGAAAAATTATTTGCGACTATTCCGGAATTTATCCACGTATTTTCAAGGTATAAAAAGAAAATGTTCTCATTGAAATAGAGATTAGATTGTAGTATTTTTAAATAAAAGATAACTGAGCTAAAGTTGTGTAACAAACTAAAATATAATGAAAAAATTTTACTTTTAGGAAAATTTATTTTTACTAATATGCTCTGAGGTGATTTCAAACGAGAAAAATAAATGCAAAATAAAGGGTTTTTTTATTAGACACTTGAAAGTTTAAAACTAAAATAACTAAAAACAGGAAGAAAAACAAAACAAAAAAGAGAAAAAGTGTACATATTAATTTATCTACATTGTCAATTAAATGCTCATTCAATGAGTATATTTGAGTTCAGCTGTCAAAATTAAAGTTTGAAACAAGCATGTAAAAAAAAATTTGCATACAACTTAGTCTTAAAAATTAAAATAAAATTTAATTTTATAACTAAAAAATAAATTATAAGATACTTTTCTTCATTAACAACTCGTTATTTTTAAAATTAAAGAAATTATAAAAATAAAAAACATTTTTATAATTATTTTAAGGGGGTCCAGCACGTCCATAGGAGCCCATGTTAAATTGCGTATAAGTTTATGTACCTTTTTCTCAGAAACTATTTAATTCTTATGAATAAAATTTATACAGTACGTTATGTGTACTGTCCATAGCACTTTGACGGAGGGTTTTGTCTTTTTGCTAAAAATTAAATTATAGTTATAACTTTTTTTAAAATTGTTCAATTTTTTTCCTTAAAATTTAGTTTTAAAAAGTCATTTAAAAAAGTTTGCTAGATGTATCTAAATCCCTCCATTAAAACATGTTAAAAGTCTGTTCACTGAAGATTTGAGGACAAGTAGTAGTAGTAAGCCCCTAATATGATGTATACTGCCATGCTTTTTCAAACGTTTAAATACAGTAGTAGTATTAAGCATAAAAGTTTTATTATAAAGTTTAATATTTTACGAATTCTTTTTAAAACGAATTAACAGAAGTTCAATTTTAATTACTTAAGATAAATTTTAATGACTAATCAAACAGAAACTGTATGCATTTTCAAATTTCATGGCAAGTTTTCTTCACTTTTAAAAAAATTAACTATGATTGTGTACCAATAGCTCAAAAATAAAATTGTTGCATAAAAGATTATTTATTTAGATATTTCATTAATGATAAATATATTTTAAAGTGATATATAAATTTTTTAAAATTATTAATCTCAAATATTTGAGATAAAAATTAACCTTTTAAGATTAACAGTCTGCTTTAAGTATAATTTAATCATATACAGTCGGACACCGATTTAACGAACCTTTTATGTATTCAAAGGTTACATTTAAATTAATTTACAGCACCAAGAAACAAACTAAGCTGTCATTTTATTCCATTAAAAACATTCACAGAACAGCAATTAAGAACATTATTTACATTTTATCTTGTTCAGTAGTTCATATACTACTTCACCAAACGATTATGGTTTTACATTTAATGTTGCTGAGTAGTACATGAGCTACTTTGCCAAAAGATAATGATTTATTTACATTTAATCTTGACATAACAGAACCCCTATTGAACAAATTTCGTGATTTAACAAATTTTTCACTTTTTCCGATTAAAATAAATGGGGGGGGGCCTATTTAAGAAGTAATAAACCCGTTGAACAAATTATTTCAGAGCAACTAGAAAAATTAATTTTTGTTAGTCTGCATTAAAAAAAATTGGAATTGGTTCTTTCTTTTTTTTGTTTGTAGAAGAAAGACTTTAGTTGCAAGCAGCAAATTTCAACAGGAAAGGGTGAAGAGAATTTTTTGACTTTTCAAGCGTAGATGAGCCCATGAGTGTAATTTATCGTATGAGTCTTGAGTAGAACAAAAAACTCCTTCCTTATCTCATTCCAAACCACAACACAGGGGATATTTTAAGATTTTTACGAATGATACATTTGATGATGGACTGTTTATCTGTGCAACTGAAGTTGAGGAAATTGATTTGTCAGAGCCAGTGAATAGAGAATCTAAATGCAGATATTGATAATGTAGCTCCTATCAAAACTGTTACATTTTCTAATGTTTTTATGTTGTTTAGAAACTGTGAAAACATACCTCTCTTATACAGCAGGATGTAAATGTGCAATATTTTCTTCTCTGCATAAAGTCGCAAAAGAACTTTTCGAGTCAGGAATCAAAAAGATTGTCAAACATTTATTAGTTAGTATTTTAAAATTTCCAATTAATTGGATTAATTATGGATTCCAATTAATTATGGATCTCATGATTTAAAATTTATGGTATTGTTCATTCTTAAATATTTCAGCAAGCTGATGTGATATTTGTTCCTTTAATTATCATGAAGTTTATATTAAACTATGATTGACATATGCATCTTGTTTTTAATTATTTGGTAATAATAAAGAAAAAATTCATTTTCCATAAATTGTATTCAAATCATTTCTATCAAAATAAATTGCTTAAAGGAGGAGTAACCCACAAGTTTATTTTCTTGTACTCGACAGGTAAAAATTTCCCTTGAAAAATTAATGCTGATTGATTGATTGATTATTAATGTCACACTGTTCAGCTACACGAGGGCTTTTGGCGACGGACCACGTAATTTTGAACCATGGTCAAGTGACGTGGACGACACCTGAGCTGGCACCCCCTCTCCTAACTACCACACCAACGGGAGGACGTATCAACTCTTGATAGATTTAACGTGCATCGCTGCCTTACACGGCAGGTCTTTAGTGGTACCGGGCTCGAACTCGTGACAAGGCAAGCCACGGTCTGATACCTATACCACTCGGCTACCGCGGCCACGAAAAATTAATGCTAAGCAACATTTAAAAAAATATATATCTGAGTAGTTCAATGAGCTTTAAATATTGCATTAAATTTATTTTATAACTTTTAACCTTAAGCAATGAGGGATCCTAAGGATGATTTTTAAAAACAAAAGGTTAAAAAGAGGCCTGATCAAAAATTTCAAAAATGGGAAAGAAAAAATATGTCTGCATAAATTCTAGAACTTGGAAGAACGATGCAGAGCACAGAGCTTCACATTAAACAGTAACAGTAAGATTTTGTATATCTGTGGATATTTTGGAAGAAAAAAAATATATATAAACCATACTTTTTTAAAATCTCAAATTCACAACAGATTATGGTATGCTTAAATGTTTGGAGTCTGCACTGTAAAATGAATAAATTGAATTGCAATTGATTAATATTTAAAGGGAAAGTCAAATCTGATAAAATAATAATTAAATTTAAAAGAACACATTTGAAGAGATAGTTGGATTACATATTTTAAATAAAATTGAGAAATATGATAGGGTTTTCAATTTAATATAATGATATTACAAGGAAGTCCAGGTAGTGAAAAACCAACTCAATATTTGTCTAAGAGCCTAAAAATAATCAATTCATTCCCAAACCAAACTAAAATAATGATATACAACAAAATTAATCCATGCATTGAAGAATTAAAATTTAAATCATTTTATAGGAAAGAATATTTTTTGATGTTATTCTCTAATGTCAAGTCAATAAGCAGTATACATAATGTGAATATCTCAAAGACACTTCATAAGCAAGCAATTCATAAAATCTTAATGACAATTGGATACCTCTTCTAAATGCAAATAAAAAGAGAAAATTTTAATTTTAAATCAACCCTTGAATGAAATATAAAAAAGAATGCACATAATGGGGAAAAAATCATTCAAAACCATTCTTTATTTCAAAAAATGTACAAAAAAAAAATGTATATTTAAATAACACAATACATTTTCACACAAATGAAAGTGTAAAACCTTGGGGTGGAAAATGACTAGAAAACAAAAAAAAAAGAAGACACCACTTAAATAAGTATTACATCACAAAATACAGAAACACATCAATTGGATATCATTTGTGTATATATGTATATGACATAAATAATTTATATATAAAATAGATATAAAATATTAAAGCACTTTCATCACAACATACAAATGTATAAATACATTACATATAATTAATATTTTACAGAAAATTACATTTTACTGACCAATGAAGCCAAAAGCTCAGTTCTCTCCTTAGCATAATCAAAACGTCGCATATGCAGAAACTGGACAGACGCTCGCAGACTACATCTTGCCGACTACATTTGCCAAAAATGATTTCTTATATACATTAAAATCTGTAATTTATAGCTTGTGAACACAGAGAAACATCTAATTTCTTCTCAGCTCTCTACTAATTTCTAAAGTCAAATTTATAATTCACATTATGGCAAAAATTCTTTAAATTTTAAGTGTCTTATTTGATACATGTATGCTAATTAATATTTTTTTCACTATGTCTTAAATGCAATTGTGAGGAAATCTTAGGTAAAATGTGACTATAAATACTTATAATGATCAGAATGACAAGACTATTTTGTAATTAAAAAGCCCATCATTAGAAATGGTATGACATTTAATTAGTCATACTTAATCCATGAAAAAAAACTAAAGATACCATTAACTACTCCATTATATGCACAAGTTTAACTGATTAAAAATAAAAATATCACACAATTCAGCTTAAAATACAATACACCAGTGGTCCCCAACTCTCGGACTGCAAACTGGTACCAGTCCATGGAACAAAAGGTACCAGGCCCC